TATATATATAATTATAGGATTGTTAAACACAATACTATAAATGAAAATACACTAAAAATACTGCAAATATAAATACAGTAAAATAGACTGCAGTAACTTCCTGGCGTACAGTTGCCAGCAAAGTTACTGTAAAATTAATTCACAGTAGGTGCTGCAATTTTATTTATAAAACATTTAGGCTACTGTAAGTTTAACTACAGAAAAGCATTAAATTAAAAGTATTAAGCATTAAATTTACAGTAACTTTGCAGTTAACTTCATTTACAGTAGCTTTTCTGTAAGTAAAATTACAGCAAATTACTATCAAATCCACTTACAGCAACTTTACTGGAAATGCAGTTACAAAAAAAATGTTTACAGTCAGACTGTTTACTGTAAACACTTTTTACAGTAAATTACTGGCAACCAGCTGCCAGTAATTTACTGTAAATTCTACAGCAACCTGTTTACATTCTGATCATGTTTTATAATGAAAGTACTATTTTCATTTTAATGAGACATTCATTCTGACAATAAAAGCACATTCATCCTCATTTTCCCTGCGGTGCAGCTATTTGTAGCTCTAAGTATTTTTTTTTAAATAATTGTTATTAAATACATGCATATATATTTAAACGCACTAATTTTATTTTATATCACATTAAATGTTTCATTAAGTTTTACCTATAGTGTGAAACTTCACAACCCCAACAATCTAACATTTCCTCTACAAGTTTTGCTTGTGAATTCAAACTACTCTGATCTCCTGTCAATGCCAAATATCTTTAGCTGTAGAAACACAACTCATGGTGTAATAGCTAGCTTGAATTGTACGTTCTTCATTTTTCTGGAGTTCCTACAATATGGAAACTAATTGGTTTGTTTGTTTTGGTCAAAATGTTTTGAATTAAATTAAGTTTGTGTATTTTTCTTCAGAAATGTGACGATGTGGCAGTATAACCCAATAAACAAGCAAATGTTCAGGATGTTCTCTGCACTCCTTTAGGTGGCGTTACCTGATGGTCATGTAGGAACGTTTTCTTGACATTGCAGGAACATTCACTTTTGCTAAAAATTAGTTTGGAGGACTTTACAAAAATCCTTCCTGGACTTTCAACGTCACAATTCGGGTTAATACTCACTGCTCTTACCTGTTGCCATGTATTATTTCAAATAACTTACAATTTGAAGGATGGACAATGTGGATATGTTATTTCTTCCAGGGTTCACAGTGGTGATTATCCATGTCCCCTCACAGATGGGTTTGAATTCACCAAACTGGCCAGCTGCTTCAGCTTCCTTCCACAGGCCAAAGACACATTAGATTAGCTGGTGACTTTATATTGCCTAGAAGTATGAATGCGAGTCGTCTGCCTCTCCATGCCAGCCCTGTAATAGATGTTAGCTGGATGTTATTGTTGTTTATTTAACTGTTTATTTGACTACATTAAAGAATACCTAACTCTTTATAGTCTTGTAATTCTTCAACGCACTTGTCTCAGGGCATTTAATGGATGTGACACCATCTGTAGATGCAGATGTCATTCATCCCTGCTGTCTTTGAGTTCTTAGACTTTTTGAGATTCCTTTAAAGGAAGAATTGTCCAAGTTAAACTCTGGAGAGGGAAGACTAGCTTCACACTGATTGCACAATATGAAAAAATACAGGGGCCCCACGTTGAGAGTCTAGTTTTTCCAGCACACTGACTGTGAGATGGTTAATACAGATAGGCCAAACAGCTTTACCTGGATGTAATTTGTTAGGCTTGTATTGCCATCTAGTGGGCCGCAGAGATAATACACAGAGGCCTTGTTTGGATTGTCTTAAGTTCCCTTTCACTTACGCTGTACCCTCAAGACCGACACATTCATGTGTGATACAAATAACACAATGATACAAGCCAGAAATCCTTTTTGTTTTGACTCTTTCATTTTGATCTTTAGTATTTGTTGTCACGGTCCTCTTGAACTTTAATTACATGTTGCACAATGCTCTGTTTTTAAGATTGCAAAACAAGTTCCAAATTAAGAACGGTTTCATTTTGTGTCTTTTCGCTTTAAAGATTGTAGTCTGGCATTCATTACCATCGTATAATGCCTCCCACATTGCCCTGTGAGGAGTACAGGGCCTACATTTCAGGACATGCCATTTGGACTCTCTTTAAAATCCTTCTGCTGCCCTTTGCTTAGCTGGCCTCCAGCCCAGACCTCTTAGTGAACACTTGTGTCTCACTCCCATTTGCAGATTTCACCCTCCTCCAGTCACATTCCCTGTCAGAGAGCAATGGAAGGAGATTTTAAGACACTTCAACAGCAACACTTGCTCTCTGTACCACTGAATTTTCTTTATAATCCATTCAAACAGTAGGTCATCCCCTATGGTCCGTACTGTTAATCTTAATCCCTGTTAGGATAACTGTTGCCAACCTCAGGATCCAGGCTACCACTTTGTTTCCTTGCTCGAAGTTCAGTTGTGTAATTCTCTTTGTTTGTCTTCTATTCAACCAAGTGGGGAGGCTAAGGCTTTCAGACGCTGCCTCGGGACTGTATGCTTTACCAAGTCCTGGATCTCTGATGTAAGATGTAGTAGAAGTGCAGTCTGTTTACATAATAACCTCACTCCAAACCCAGAGACAGTGAGATAAGTGAAATACAGCCAGGTTCACCATGCACACCCTCTTTTGTCTTCTGCTCTGTGTTTTTTCAGTAGCCCGTGACCCTTTTCTTCTTATGCTTTCTCCAGCTCTGAACACCTATTGTTGCCCCTTTGCTCCAAGCCTTGGGGAGGCGTCTTTGCTGCTGTCCAGCAGGTTTTCTGTCAGACTGCCATCTGTGGGTTATGTTGACCGACTGACGTCAAGCTGTGGAAATAAAGCTGTGGTAAAGAGGAGGAGCAAAGGAGAAACCCTAGAATTACAGAGTGACTGCTTCTGATTCTTTATGGGCTACTTTCTGGGAACACAAGCAGCCTTTTGAGTCTGAGAAACCGCAAATCACACAAACACTTTCACACATGCTGAAGCAGGAACTTGCACGGGAACTGTTAATATTTGTAAAATTCCACAAGACGCAGGGCGCTGTTTGGGCTTCAGAGAGCACGGTTAACAGAGGGCACGTGGCCAAGAAAGAAATCATACCAAAAACTTGCTCAGAGCAGTCAGCTGGTATGCCTGAGTGTGTGCGCGTGTGCGCGCATGTATGCATAGTGAGACTAAAGGCATATTGACTTTCTGGATGTTTATACATACCATGCTGGCGTAATGCATTCCTTTCACATCCTCTCTTCCACTTCTGTTTCCATCAGGAAGTAGAAGAAGTGCTTTAACGCTGTGTAATATCTCAGTGCTGAAAACTAGGCCACGTGAGCCATCAGACAGACATTTTTTCCATTCATAGTATTTTCTCACAACATAACGTAAGAGCTTTTAAAAGGTTAAGTGATTCAGCTTGGAATATTTATTTTTGCTTTGATTACTTTTTTAAATTCCAAAAGAATTACACATGAGATACCACAGAGAGACCCCAAAGCCACAGTAGCTATTTGAACTCTGAAGCCAGACAGCTAATAGGCTGAGGTGGAGAGCTTGGACATGATGCTGCCTTTGTGTGGTATTGGAAAATAAAATTACATCGAATAATTTCTGCAAGACCCAGCTGGGGCTCAGGAGATAGAGCGTGTAGTCGAGTAATCTAATACTAATGCATCTGTCGAAGTGTGAATGTCAGGTTAAAGGTGCTTAAACATAAAAAAGAAATACGTTTTTGTAGTAAGAAACGTGAGTATTCAAATAGAGAAAAAAATGCACTGTATAATGTATACCTGCCTATTTAGTTCAGCTATGGTGCTGTGATGGTTCCTGCATGAGCCATATAACAACTGCCATTTATAAAGAAGTATTTATAATTAGTTAAGACCAGATAAGATCAAATCTTTGATTATGGACGAGCTAAAGGGAGTGGGCTCAAGTAGCTCTTGTTTTTCTTTAGATTTTGAATTCTTGAGCAATTTTTTATGTCTTTATGGCTTTCTGGGCATACAAGACAACAAGAAGAGGAAGAACTACTTGTGGTGTAAAATGCATGCATTCGTTCCTCAAGTTCTTATGTAAACATACTCACCCTTACCCTTTCTGTCGTGTAAGTTGCAGGTGTGCTAAAAGACACAGTGAAGCCCATCGTGTTAAAGGAAATGTTTGGTGTCATTATGAAAGGATGCTAAACAGGTAAACACTGCAAATAATTTTACTTAAGCAGAAAAAATATTGTCAGAAAAACATAAGTAGCAAAAAAGTAGTAGCAGTAAAGACTAGCAGGCTGACACTGCTCATGGAGGTAAAGCTCGTGTAAAACAATGCTTGTCAAACAGTTCCACCTTGAACATGTATTTTTGAACAATTTCTGACTTTGTATATTTGTTACTTTTCTTATAATATTTTTTTAACATTTCAATCTCTATCTTTTGAGTGAGTAAATACCTAAATGTTTGAGCTATATAGTCAGTAATTTAAAAAACCTTCACATATGTAACTTGAAATGATGTGATGATAACTGCAAACTTTGAGATGAAACTAACTGTTTTTACTTATTTAAATCGAAAATTTGAATGAACAAGTAGAAAATTCAAGTTAGGCTTCTCAACAAGTCAAATTACTCAGAACATGAGTAACTTGACACATGTATTGTCAAGTTACTCATGCTAATAACTTGAACAATTTTGAATATATATATATATATATATAGGTAGATAGATAGATAGATAGATAGATAGATAGATAGATAGATAGATAGATAGATAGATAGAGATAGAGAGAGAGTTAGAGTTGGTTTTTTAGGTCGCAGAAACAAGAATAAAAGCCAGGGGAAACCCCATCCTCCTAAATGTGGATTATACGGAGCGGACTTGAACGCACCATGGGATTGCAGCCTACTTTGAAGCCGGCGGGTTGGGCCACACTCCAATGAATTTACACAGTCCTACCGAGTGACCGAGGGAACGAGAAAAGCCTGGCGCCTGCGTACGGCTTCGGTGTCCAGAAGCAGAGCGCTAAAGCAGCTGAAAGTGTGAGAGGAGAAGTTCAGTTTTTAGCATAGTCGCGCCGGTTCTCGTTTCACCTCTTTAAATGGTAGAAACCACTGTGGGATAGTGATTGGAGTTGACAAGCCCGCTTCACTACTGTATCCCCCCCTCCTTCGTCTCCTTCTCCTCCTCCTCCCCTCCCGCTCAACACACACAACCAGGAAATCGTCGAGGTGTGCTTCTTTTATCCCGCTTGTGGCTACCCCATTCGCGGGTGTCGATGCGGTTTTCTTCCCCTCTTTTTTCCTAGGTTTTTTAAAATATATATATACATATTATTTTTATTCCGCTGGTTTGACTCTTCAAGCCGGGCTTCACCCCTGAAGTCAGCCAAAGTTGCCTGCGAGGAGAGGATCTCCACTCTGGCCGAACAATGAGGTGGGTAAAGCGGCTCAAATCCCTTCATCTTCATTGTGTTTCCAGGCTACATTTTGTGTTTCGGCTAATACTTTTACAAGTAGACGACCTTTATTCTGACGTGGTAGAGCCTGCTCCACGGTGCTTGTCCGCTCGCTTAATCGCTACAGCAGGTGTTCCCAACGCGTTCACTTCTATTTCTCATTCAGAAGCAACTCTTGCGTTTAGTTGTTTTGGTGTCCTTTCAACCACACATGATACTGTGTAGCAGAATTGCCTTAATGCTGAGTGTCCGGTCCCACCTGTTCAAGTGCTTTCAAGAAATACTGGCTGAGAGTTAACTTAGCAGGTCGGATGACAAGAAGATACTTTTTGTATCAGCTTTTTGAGACACTCATTAGTGACCATTTGTTTAGCTACCGTAAGATTTCCTCTGGCAGTGTCGTTTGTGTAATTAAAATCCCCAGAGCAATAAAACCTCCGCAGTGTAACCGAAGATCAGAGATCAGCTTAATATTTAGAGCATGAAAAGGGATTGCTTGCAGACAGTCACAGCAAGGTGTGTTTGTGCTCTTCCAGCTGCACAATAACCACCCTGGTCACTTTGCTGTTGTTTATTTCATGTCATGCAGTCCACAGACACGCATTACACCAAATTCTTGGTGGACACTTTTTTCCCCCCCCTCTGGCAGTTTAAGAGATATTTGCAGCAGGAACAAAATGGAAAGCTCATGTCCACAAATTCCACCGTCCTGTTACAGCCTGTGCAGTTGGCAATTACACGCTTTGAAGCCACCACTCCTGCCTGGCTGGAGCTTCTCTGGGCTCACTTTTTTTTTATTTTATACCCCCTTCTTCCTCTCCAACTCTTTCATATTTTAAACGGTTATGGAGCCCTTATGTCAACGAACACCTTTGGCACTTAGAAAGCCAAGGAGTTCAGAGTTAAATATGTGTGGTGGTGCAGGCTGATAACCTGAGTGACTAGTTTTTCTTTTCTTTTCTTTTTTTTTTTAATCTCAAACCTATTGCGCTGCCCTTTCTGTAACAATATCTTTCAGCTCAGGCGCATGGGTTGGTCCGGGTTTTGTATTTGTTGTGCACATATTTCTGCATGCTGACTTTGATTACAGCAGGAACGGGAGGTGACTGAGCTGCCTGAGATCCTGCCACAGGTTATGCATAAAACATACCCTTCTAATAAGGCCATTATTTAAGGTAACAGCAACAATAAGCAAAGATTACTGTGTTTACTTACTCGATGTAATGACATTCGGCCAGCAAAGCATTACAAACTAGAACTTGCAAATCAACCAGCATATACCTACCTTGCTACTTTCTATGTGTAATACAATATTACCCCGCATGATAAGATAATCACGCTGCTTTATTATCAATAACCCCAGCCACACTTAAAAAAAAAAGTACTTCCCTATCCAAAAACTAGGTCAGCAAAGACACAGTTAAAAACACACACACAGTGTGTAAGCAAAGAGCATTTTTTTGCCCATGTGCAGGTTGTGTCTTGCCCCTCAGAGAAGTTGGAAGGTTGCATGTGGCTTAATGAATGCAGTTGTCTAACTCTAAACAGATCATGCTTTGGCTAGCCCTCCATTGTGGCCCAAACAGTTCGCGTCACCTTGTGTAATAGATAAAGGCTGGTATGCAGCCCCACTCATGTTCATTGTCACTTATCCCAGTGGAATGTAAATGTTGACACAGAAGTGCACCCCGTTGGTCAAAAGTTCAGGAACTGACCCAGTTGGTTAAGTAAAGCATCCCAACTTGGGGCTGCCTTTAAATGTGCAACCCGTAGAAACGCCCTGCTGTTCTTCTCATGAAGCATTAGCACCGTTTCCCGTTAGACCAGGGATGTTAAAGTCATTGTGGGCCACATACAGCCCAGTTTGATCTTATATGGGCTGGACCAGTGAAACTACATGATAAATGTGTGAAATTTAAAACCGGTTATAATGCACAGACTCTGCTGTAAGGATCAAATATAATTTGCTTTTACTGTGAACTCTCAATAATAGGAACTTTCCTGGTATTTGTTTGCTTTTTGCTTAGGTAATTATTTTGCTGTAGTATGAATAGTAATGGGTGTGGACAGTCTTTAATAGATAGGAAAAGCTGTAAACCCTATGAAAACACAGTTAAGTTCAAAACATACGCGCTCCTTCACATTTCCAGTGGGCCAGATTTGAGTCTTTAGTGGGGCTGATTCTGGCCCCTGAGCTTTACGTTTGCCTAATGTCTGCACTCCAGTTGAGATTCAGTTGTTAACCCCGTCACGGTGGATGTGTTGCAGTCAAAGCATGCTTTCATGACGCCACTTCTACAGCACAAACAACAATACAGTGTTGTATGGCTCTAGATGTTTACTGGTAGCTTTGCCGTTGCTTTTTTAGCATGTCAATGTGAAGCAGCAATTGGTCTTTAAATAAAATGACCTTAAAATGTCCTGACCTCTTAAACGCTGAGGGTTTTACTGAGGTTCCTTTCTCAAAGTGAGAAGTAAAATAAAGCTAACACTTGTGGGGCTTTTATCTGAGGTGTAAATATTATAGATGATGCTACTTTGTCAAAGTAAATAAGGATGAAACATAAATAACTTTATAACTTTTTTCCTTGCTTTATTTTTTTGTTGTTGTACTTTATAGCATATAACCCCTTTGAAAACATGCTGAGGTAGACAATTAACTCCAGAAATCCACGAATCAACATATGGGTATTATCAGTGCAAAGACTGATGCTGCTGAAATGAAACTGAGCAAAGTTACAGAGGTTTTAGTGAAGACAGTCAGGCGTTTTGCAATGTGACACATTTTGGCACAGTGGCTACTATGTTGTGCTTTTTAGATTAAATGTAGGGTTGCTGATGTCACTCCACATGATACAAGTTGCCTGTTGTGATTGGCAAGAACCTTTCCAAGAAGACAAGTCCTTGATGTAGATGTTACAAACACATAGTTATGTGTTTCCAGTGGAAAAGGTCTGACTGGTTGCACTGGTTTTTAATTTTTACATCAGTGGAAATGGGCCTTTTCCTCCTCTGAGCTCCACTGAACTGACTTTAAGGGTTGATCTGTTGGTGTGAATGCAAATTTCTTCAAGTTTTAAGTCACTATATTCAATGTTTCCTTATGTTTTTTGTTTTTTTGTATCTGCACACAGTGAACAATCGCTGTACTGATTGCCCGCACTTGAAACTGTCTTAGGTTACTCAGAAAGTGCATCTATCTGCATGATGATTCACGTTATTATCGGAGAGGTGACTCCCGTCTCTCGCTGTGACTCACTGACTGAATCTTTAGCTAAAAAACTTTGTCCCATGTGAGACTGGCAGTGTAGCTGCCTAAGGCTCAAGAAGTAACACACAATGAGCCATCATAAACGCAGACAGGTGTAATGTGTCTGCTTAACATAATGTTTACAGTCTAATGGGTTTCCTGTGCCCTTTTTAGAAACGGTGCATGTGTGAAAGTGATGCCAAGCTCAATGTGTCTCTGTGCTCTTGCACAAGCTTATTATTGATCAGCCTTAAAAGCAGTGAACTGGCCTCCCTCCGCCAGCCCTTCTTCTGTGTCTCGAGAAATTTTCTTTTCCTTGTTCTGGCACTTACTTGGAAGGAATGCAGCTCTAACCGTGATTTATGTAGTTTTGCTGTTGTATCATCTGCCACAATTAAATGTTCAACCTCTTGACCCTCGTGTACTAAGAGTGGCTGTTATTTAGGCATTTAGCAACACGATTGCATACGGCCATGTAAGGATATCATGATGAAACTCTGGGGTTGCGACGTTATTGCCATGGCGTTATGTAATGTTCATGTAGGGATGCTAAATAGTTTTCTCTTGTTTTCTCTTTTCATGTCTTCACTTGTTCTCCTAATTCCTTTGCGCAGTTGGATTTTTCTTTTCAAGGCTTATAACAGTGGCAGTTTACTTTTAACCCATGTGGAGTCTTTGCTGCACACAAACACACGATTATAAGTGTGAGGTAAAGGATCAGTCTGCATTTTTATTTATTTATTTATTTTTGTTAGCCGACAGGAAAATTGCGATTTGCTTTCTTTTGCAAACTGTGCCCAAATACTTCCTCCTTCCAAAAAAAAAAACCTGATTACACTTTCTTAATGTGAACATAAACGAAATGAGTTTTTTCCACCCATAGACCTCCATGTATCCCCACTCAACCCTCCGCCCCAGAAGTAATTGGGGTGTGCTTGTGGGAATGGTTACCTGTAATAGATTAAGAATAATGTCTTTATTTCACACGTCATAAAGGCTCGCGCGTTGATCTACGCGTTGAAAGATTCCTCGGTGTGTTGCCGTACTGTCGGGGTGACGGTGTGTCGAAATGATCACAAAGCTTGCGTGCTTCGTCACTGAGCTCCCTCCATTATTAAAACGGCCACGTCTAGTCGCATTTTGTTTCCCAAAACATCCAATCACAGCTCACCCCCACCCTGAACCAATTTACCCCTCCTGCCACCTCTCGTACTCTCGTAAATAGGCCATTATGCCGGCCAGCCTCTTGGATTAGGCACTTTGCTACAAGAGTTGCCCAACATACAAAATCCTCTATTGTATACTTGGTGACAGATCCAGTTTCCTAGGTAGTGGTTCATATTGCTTGTCTATAATTGTGCCTCTAGGTTATTGTTTGTTTTTTAATTTTTAAACTCTATGATCACTTATCTGTAACCATTGTGATTTTTCACCGTTATGAAATAGTTTTTCAGTGAGCTTTGTGTCATAAAACTTGAGACTAAAGACAGCAAACAAACCCTAATGAGGCTGAGCTGTGTATCAACTTTTGATATATACAAAAATATACGTATAAGTCTAGGAATGTGGGATAGGTTGATAACCAGTTATACAAGCATATCTCATTAGTCGGTGTCGTTTGTAGGAGTCGTGTATCTGGACGTTATCGGTGTGTTTGTTAAGGTTTTATGTGGATTTGTTGGTTTACTCAGAGTTTAGTGGTTGGTCACATGATTAGGGGCTGTGTTA